AAAAAAAAAAAAGTGAAAAAAAAAAAAAAAAAAAAAAGAAATGAAAGCTGAACCTGAGGTATTTGTAATCAGCTATGTCATGGAGCAATGCAGCAAGCTCAACCTAGAAAGGAAACTTGAAGAAAAAAAATGAAAGAAAGGAAAAAGGGCAATGAGAAAGGGAAAGGGAGAGTGATAGTTACGATTTGCATGGAGTGAGGATGAGAAGAAAGGCCTTCCTCTTGGGCGAGGGAGAGAGCAAGATCACGAACTCTCCAAACATGTGCTGCATCGTGGGAAGCATCGTTCCCTTTCATCATCTTCTCCACCAGCGCCTCTGCATTTCTTCTTACACTCTCCATATCCATGCTTCTTCCCTCTATGCTTCTCATCTCATCACATCACATATCATAGTCTTCCCTTCAGCCGCCTTTGCCCAAATTACGATTTACACCCCAATTCCAACAAATAATTTAGTAAACAAAGAGAAAAAAATAATAATAATAAAATAGAAAATTAAACATAAAAGAAGAATGAAATAAAAAAAATATATATATTATATATGTTTATAGATAGAAAACAAATTGCTTAACATTTTTTTTATATATCTCTCCCATTGAAGATATTTAGTACCAAAGGATCACACTATAGTTTGTGAGGGCTCTACATTCTTTCCCATTAATAATTTTTTTTACATATTTAGTATATATAAATCAAATCAGCTTAGGTTACCTAAAAGTACAAAAAGTGGACCATGATGACAAAGTTCAAGACCTTCGTGTAAGCTACAAATATCATGGATTATGAGGAAACTTTGAATAGCAAGGGACTCACTTAATCATTTCCACCTTTCATACACCTTCATTTAGTCATCATATTCTCTCTTAATTCCATGGCCAAAATCAAAAGCTTAGAATATCCAAAACCCAAAACCTCTCTTTATCTATGTTGCTTCGGATTAGTTCACCGTAAAACTACTCCAACAGATCACTCAATCATCACAGGATCTGAACATAAGGGTCAAAGCAACAATTGCTTTCCATGGCAAAGGATTAAACTTGGGGTCAAGAACTCAATGGCCAAAACGGTGCCGCTTGAAGGCTCAAAGTTTGATGATATAGAGAACCTCAAACTCAAACTCAAAGGCACAGTTAACAAAGTTCATTCACCAAGGTGGAAGTGGAAGTGGAAGTCAAAGTCAAAGTCAGACTTTCTCATCAATACTCAAAGCAATTCCACATCCTCAAATTCAAAGGTATATAGAGGAATGCTAGCTTCTAATACTCTCTTCTTTTTTTTAATAATTTTTAAAAATCAAAAATTTTGTATTTCACTTAATGAGTTACCATAATCTAATGATAATTATATTTTTGATACATATAATTTTCATCTTAGTGAAAATTCTATTTTGACATTAATTTGGTTCAATTAAGTTAATGAAAATTATACTTTTATTGGATCCAGCAAAATCGAGGAAACATTGTAAAATGTAACAAGCGTGAACAAAATATGTCAACTATCACAAAAACAGCGTCTCTACCAACTTGTTCAAAACGACAAGAGCGGCAGTTGCTCTGGTCGACGCATTATGAAACGACATGGAAACACGCAAAGCGCAAGCAGACTCAGAACGCAGAGAGACATAATCTTTTGACTGTGGCGTCGGTGGTTGTAATAATTTTGGTATCAATGATGGTGTGGGGTCGTTTGTGGTCCATTATTTGCACCTCCATCTGCTTCTATCTCATCCCCTGCTTCACTACGACACCACAATACGACAAACAGAGTGATTCAAACGACTTGGTTTTGGATTTCAAGAGGAAACCCATTCAAAGATGTAGCACTTCACTTTAAAGGTAGAATAGCTTATTAATAGTAATCGCTATTGAGAAAATCAATTTTGTAAATTTTGTGTATTAAAAAGGGAAAATTGAAAGGTTTAGATATATTAAATTATATGAATAAATAAATTTTAAAAAATAAATTTAAAATAACATAAATTTTATATTAAAAATTTGTATAAGATAAATCAATAAAAAAGATTAATTAAAAAAATAATTAAAAGGTCAATTTTTATAACAAATTTTGTTTATATATGACAAAATTAAAAAATTAAAAACAAAAAATTATAATAATATTATAAAAATATTAAAATAAA